TTTTTAAGTTATATATATTTTTATTCATAATATTTTTTACTAATTATTTTTAACTTTATTGTTTAGACTAAGGAGATGGGGAGACCACCGTTGATCATTGAGTTGATTACGAGGACTCGGACAAAAAAATCGGGAGGTTTTGTCGACGACCGCACCCAGAAAGCTTTTGTAAGTAATTAAACTTATGTTTTTTTTTAAGTTAATAACAAAAATAGTGACGTTATTTCCACGTGGCAATCTATAAGTTGTGGCGTAATTATCATGTGGCAACTGATAAATTGCCAGGTGACTGATTTTCATATGGCAACTGATACATTGCCACGGGAAACTCACGTGGCAATTCATAAGTTGATTTGTGAAAATCACGTGACAAATTTTTAATATATTTGAATTTAGTATAATTTAATATATAAATGTTTTAATTTTTTTTTAATTGTATTATTTAATGTATGTGTAGGATGATTATCAGACATTGCTAGCACGTTTTCTGGAACACAATCCGCAATACAGGCCAGCAGAGGGGGAGCCGCTTAATGGGGATGTTGATTTCTATATTTGGAATGAGGTTGTTAATGGAAAAGGGCCTAATGGTTGCTTTTTTGCGGGAGGAAATTTGGCCGCCGGCTTGAGAGTTGGTGATCGTAATCTGTTTCAAAGACTTAGAGATGGAGAAGGGGGGTCACGTCAACCCAATCTGACTCAGGTTCAACTTGAAACAGTACGACAATTGGCGGCCAGTGAAGTGAGACGCGAAATGGAGGCCCAAATGACGACAATGAGGCAAGAGCAGGAGCGTCAGTTAGAGATCATGCGGAAGCGGCAATCTGATATGGAGGAGCAGATGAGACAGTTTATGCAAGGCGGTCGAAATCAAAATGTTCCTGATCATACACAGCCGGATGATGACGGACTTGATGACTTTGATCTTGATAATTTTCCGGGTGAAGATGCCCCGTGAAAACATTTTTTTTATTTCGTTTTTATATTTGCATTTATGTAAGATATATTTATTTTTATCATTTTAAATTAATAAATTATATAACATTTAATTATGTGAATTTATTTTATAAAATTCTATTATTCGAAATATAAAATAAAATACTATTATTCTAATAATTTTAATATATAAATTTTATTATATAAAATTTATTATATAAATTTTAATATATAAATTTTATTATATAAATTTTATTATTTAAATTTTATTATATAAATTTTATTATTTAAATTTTATTACATTAATGAATTAATATAAAAATTAATTATTAACAATTTTTTAAAAAATATAAACGTCCCCTGTAGCGACGTGGGAATCATGTCACAAATTAGTGACATGATTCTCACGTCGCTAATAAAGCTGTCATTAACAAATATGTAGCGACGTGAATACCACGTCACAACTTTGTGACGTGGGAATCACGTCGCTACTTGCTTGCCACTTACTCCCCAGCGACATAACTCACCACGTCGCTAATTTTGACTTGCCACGTGATTTTGATGTTTGCCACATGATTTTCACGTGGCAACTAAGCTTCTTTTTTGTAGTGATTCATTGAATAATTAATGTATCTGGTCTATATATAGACCAAATACATTAATTATTCAATGAATCTAAAAAGTGAATTTCTCTTATTGGGACGGAGGGAGTATTTTATAAAAAAATTAAAACAGAATATTTAATATGTTTATTAAATATTTAGGATATATAATTTTAAAATAGTTATGAAATTTAATTATAATTATTATATTTAAATATTTATTTATGGTTAATGGTTAATATATATATATTCAATATATTTATAAAATGTTTAGGATATATATATAATTTCAAAATAATTATAAAATTTAATTATAATTTCTATAGTTAAATATTTATTTATGGTTAAAATATAAATAGAATATAATTATTTATGGTTAAATAAATATTTATTTATGGTTAAAATATAAATAGAACATAATTATATTTTATATTTCTTAAAGAATAATATCTTTGTTAAAAAAATTATGGTAAATATATATATTCAATATGTTTATAAAATGTTTAGAATATATATATATATATATATATATATATATATATATATATATATATATATATATATATATATATATATATATATATATATATATATATATATATATATATATATATATATATATATATATATATATATATATATATATATATATATATATATATATATATATATATATATATATATATATAATTTCAAAATAGTTATAAAATTTAATTATAATTACTATGGTTAAATATTTATTTATGGTTAAAATATAAATAGAATATAATTATTTATGGTTAATATATTTATTTATGGTTAATAATAAGATAATGATTGTATAAATGTGCAGTATGGAATATTATCGGTATGGTCGTAGTTGAATGTACGATAGATTGTATTCAGGAAGATGTGCACTTAAACCCCATTTTATAGCAGGAGTTAATGAGTTTATCACGTGGACGTTTGCTCAGGAATATTGTCGAAGCGAAGGAGGAGTTAGGTGTCCCTGTCTTAAATGTGAATGTAGACCAATAATTAGTGACCTGGAGGAAGTAGCATGTCATTTGCATAGAAGGGGTTTCATTGAAAATTATTGGGTTTGGACGTATAATGGTGAAGAAATGCCGAGTAACATACCAGAGACTAGCAACACATATGCTTCAAGTAGTCGACCGCCTGTGGAATTTGAGGAAAACTTTAATTTGATCGGTGAAATGGTTGAGGATGCTTTTGGTGTGAATGTGACATATGATCAACCTGAAGATTTTGACAGGGAATAGTTGCCGAATGAGGAAGCGCAGAGATTTTATCAGTTGTTGAATGAGATGAATACGCCGTTGTTCCAGGGGTTGTCAGACTCAAAGTTATCAATGTGTGTGAGATTATTGGCCACCAAGTCAAATTGGAATGTTCCTGATCAGTGCTTGGTACATTTTGGATGTTGGACTCCACCGCAACGAAAGACAACTTGCCTACAAGTTTTTATGATGCAAAGAAGTGGGTGTCAAAGTTGGATTTAAAAGTAAGAAAGATTGATTGTTGCATTAGTGGTTACATGTTGTTTTATGATAATGAGTTTGGTACTCAAGATGGATTGTTGGAGGAATGCAAGTTTTGTAAGAGTCCAAGATATCAAGTTTGCAGTAGAGCCATTAATAGCAAACAAAAGCGTGTAGCACTAAAGTCCGTGTTTTATCCTCCGATAATACCAAGGTTAAAAAGAATATTTGCTTCAATGCACAGTGCAAGTCAAATGACATGGCATCATAAAAATCCAACAAGTTCAGACACATCCTGATTTTGCCGCAGAACCTAAAAATGTCGGGCTTGGATTATGCTCTGATGGTTTTGCCCCATATGTGCAAGCGTCGGGAAGTGCATGTTCTTGTTGGCCAGTTATTGTAACTCCTTACAATCTCCCTCCTGAGATGTGCATGACAAAATCATACATGTTTTTGACGTACGTCATTCCATGGCCTTCCAGTCCAAAAGTCGGAGTCGATGTGTACTTACAACCTTTAATTGATGATTTGAAGAGGTTGTGGATTGGAGAATGAACTTATGATATATCCTGTAAACAAAACTTTACTTTGCGAGCTGCCTTGATGTGGACCATTAATGACTTTCCAACATATGGCATATTGTCTGGTTGGGGTACGCATGGACCTTTAATTTTTATTAAATGTATAGGAGGATTATCAGACATTGCTCGCAAATTTTCTGATTCATAATCCTCAATATACTCCGGGAGAGGGAGAGCCGCTTCATCTAGATGTGGATTTTTATATTTGGGATCAAGTCATTGGCGGAAAGGCGCTAACGGTTGTTTTTTTGGTGGTGGAAATTTAGCGGGCTCCTTGAGAAGTGGGGATAGAACTCTATTTCAAAGAGTTAGAGATGGGGAATTGGGGTCACGTCAACCAAATTTGACACCGGAACAACTTGAAACGGTAAAACAATTGGCGTTAAATGAGGCGAGACGCGAGTCAGCGCAACGTGAGGCGACAATGAAAACCCAAATGGAGGCAATGAGACAAGATCAACAACGACAAATGGAGGTCATGGCGAAGAGGCAAGATGATATGGAGCAACAAATGCGACAATTTATGCAAGGGTTTGGTGGAAATCAAAACTTTCGTAGTCAAGAGCCGGAGGATGACGAAAGCGAGGATGATTTTGACATTGACAATTATACCAACCAAGATGACCCGTAAACTTAAATTTTTTTATTTATTCACGTTTGAATTTGTGTACCATACTAATTAATTAGTTCTTAAATTTATAATTTTAGTTTATTAATTTTATTATATTAAATTTAATATATCAAATTTATTAAATATTAAATTTATTATATATTGAATTTATTAATATAATTTATCAATATAATAAATTAAATTAATAACTTTAACATATAATAAATTCAATATATAATAAATTAAACTAATATAATTTATTATATATTGAATTTATTAATTTAATTTATTATATATTGAATTTATTATATGTTAAAGTTATTAATTTAATTTATTATATTAAATTTATTAATTAATATTATTAATTTAATTAATTATATAAAGAAAAACAAATCTAGTTATTAAATTTAAATTTTAAAAAAAAAACATTAGCGACGTGAATTTCACGTCACTAGTTTGTGACGTGAAAATTACGTGGCAAATAAAGTCACTTTTATATTTTCACGTCACAACTTAGTAACATGAAAATCACGTCGCAAATAATTTGTCACCCTCTCTCCAGTCACGTGATCATTCACGTCGCTAATAATTGATTGTGACGTGAATTTGTAAGTTGTGACGTGAAATTCACGTCGCAAATGAGAGTTTTTTTTTGTAGTAAATGGTCATTAATAAATTCAAATAATTAATGATCTGATCACTATGTTGATGAATCTGCTTAAGTAGCTGCTACAAATTCTTCATGAGACTCTCCAAAACTTAGTTCAGAATCATGGATAATCAAATTCTACCATGAGCTGATTCGTTTCATTACAAATGGCATCCTCGAGACGAAGCACTCTTCTGCAATAGCCAGACATGCAACAAAATCCATTAACATATAATGAATCCGATAAACTCGTTCTAACCGTAGTTGAAATAACCGAACCAATTGAATCATGACTTAGAGGTCTCGTCGGTTAAATCTTCTACCATGTTTTTAAAACATTTCTCAAAAAAGAAGCCTACCATTAAGTGATTAAATTTAAGTTACCTGCGAAAGTTGTTCCAGGTTTAACTCCTTTGTAATCCCATCTGCAAGCAATTTCTATGCTCTCTTGGAAGAGGAGTGTCAAATCTTTGTCATAATAATCTTCTAACGCAGTAAGAATAATTTATCTGTCCCACACCTTACCATCATAGACAACATAAAGACAATAAAGGTCAGTTACTTTCACCACCAAGAATGTTGAATCATTTTTGTCGGTGATCTCCTGAAGTAAAAATGTTATTATTGTTGTCGTTGCTCGGTGTGATGCTGCCTCCAAATGGGGCCGTGGAGTTTCAACAGCTATGCACTAGAATTTTAACACTCAAATTTGTATAACACTCAATTGAATTTTGAAATAGAATTTTAACATAATAATGAAACATACAGAGAGTCACTTATCTTTCGTCTGCTGTATCGACGTTGTGATAAAATTAAGGTTTTCTTTGGATGAACTGATCACTTCTTGGCGAATTTGCAGTTGGACAAAACACTTTGACATCATCGCTCGAAAAATTCCTGAAATAACATAATCACAAAGTTATATAATATAGGTACATATATGTCATAGATTTGTTGTGGTTTTTAGAAGCATACATATTCACAGAACACAAACATCAAACTGGACCCGATTACAAATAAATTGAGCTCAGAGAATAAGAAAGTATAACTCACATGGTTATATCCTGGACTGTGACCCCAAGAAAGATGCACTGTCTGCTTCCAATCACGGTTCCATTTAGATAAGTCAACATGAGTTACTGACCAGTTTGCATTCCTCTATGTGTAGCCCGTTCTGAACCATCCAATATTGCTGCCAAAATGACATCGGTTCTGAAGAATAAAAAAATGGTATGTGTTTTACCAACTAACATGTATTTACCAACTCTTTTAAAAAATTTATCATAATTGGATATCACCAACACATAATTAATTGATTTAGTCAATTCTTATTAGTCAGTAACATTCCTTATTTGCAAAGACCGTAACCATCCCGGACTTCAACGATAATCACATCCATTATCTACATGTTACAGTTTAGATCCCTAAAATCCAGTACTTCACATCATTAAATTTCGAATAAAGTGTGCGTCCGACCATTGAAATATGGTAACCTTATCCCTGAAATAACAAAGATAGGATGCATTTGAAATATGGGATACAAAAGTATTTGATAAAAAAACAATTATCAAACTAATTTAAACAATATTCAAATGGCATGTTAACTCTTCCCGTAAAAAAATCGATTTTAACATATTTATTGATTCTATTTTCTAACACGAGTTATGTAATGACTTTGAAATATACTGAAATTGATCTTACGTTAGTAATGGCCACGACTCTTATAACGTCAACAGCACCATCCAAAGTATAAAGTATCAAAACTGAGCTTACCATGCTCTTGGTTATCCAATGCAACTGTGAAAGTTTCAGCAGTACTGCCACACAATCATCACCCTAATCCAACACTTTCACCGTAAAGGGTAACATGTTAATAAAAAGAAGACACAATTAAGCAGTACAACAGGGCAACATGGATTTGCTGCACTTTGAGCTGCCAATTGTTTTAATCCTAAATATCCATTGCTGCCAATTGATACTTTAATGTCAGACTCATTTGTGGTTACATGTCATTTTGTAGCAAAACTAGTCCAACTGAAATAAGCAAAGAAACCAGCAATGTAAGCGTCTTGTAAAGAATTATTTGACATAGCATTCAATTGCAAGCTTTCTTTTAAATCCACTGCCATCAACACACCGAGGAAGGCATAGATATTGTTCTCAAAAGTAACCGTTCGGGTGCCGGCGATGCAAGATTTGATAAGTTGACTAAAAACAACAGAGAAAGAGTCATTTTCAATGATAACGTATTAGTTAAATGTTAAATAAATAGCTTATTAACATGTGTGATACAACACTTACAAAATCGTCAATTTCTCTATCAGTGAAAACTTCCTATTACTTATGGTGGGATTGGTATAGCTACATATTTTCAAATACAATACCTCAAAGAGAAGCTCATCTATTAAGACGCAATGTATTAGTGTGGAATCAACAGAAGACAAATACCAATTCTGCATCTTTCTGAAGAAACCAACTATGCAGCTTGTTCCGCACTGTCTCTACTATGCTATTTCGTGAATCTCCGGTTGACATGGCTAACAAAACGATTGACATCAAGGTGCTTATTAAGAGAAGCTGCAGGAAACTACATTTAACCCTTTGAAGTTAAGATATATGTTATTTCACAAAAGGAATCAGAGAAATAACAAAGATCTTTGTAATGGCTGGAGTCTTTTTCAACATTTGAGCCAAAACTAATCCAATCCAGTGAAAAGATTACAGAATGTAACTTAGGATTCTTAAAATTACCTGGAGCGCATGCAAAATATTGCATTAAATGAAGACTCAGGTCCTGAAAAAGGTGAAAGAAAGTAAATATATTTCACTCAAAGTAAACTTACATTATAACGATCCTCGATGGTTGGATTGTGAGCTTCAGAATATGGTATGTATTATAAATTCGACAAAAATTAAGATATGATGCTCAATAATTAAAACTATATACTAAGAATTTTCAAGGTAACTTATAGTTGTAGAAATGTTGAGACTAAGTTATTGGATTAACTTAATTCGCACACATTAAATAAAAATTGTCAGTGCACTTTATTATTTTTAAAGGAATGGAAAAAGAGCGAACCAAAAAGGGAAGAGAGAATCTAAGTTCGGGAGGTTGATTATGTAAATGGAATGTATTAACATCCTAAACATTTTAACTATAAAAGTTGTATAAAAAATAAATTGTGAAGATTAGAAAATAAATATTTTTTATAATTTTTACACCCACCACGGTTGCGAAGCTTTAGTACCTACATACCACCTTCTGGGCAATATATATAATTAAGATATTTTCAATATTTAGGAGAATAAAATTATATATAATTCAGTTTATTTGTGAAAATAAAAATATATTCATGAGAATAAAATTATAATTTCATATATATTAATTTCAGGTTTATATATTATATGTTATATGTTAAAATTAGTTTATTATATTTATTTTATATTAACTCATTGGTTTTCAAAATAAACTGAATTATATATAATTTTATTCTAACAAATATTGAAAATATATATTTTCAATATTTGGGAGAATACAAATATTAATTTCAGTTTATTTGTGAAAATAAAATATTATATTTATAAAAAATAAAATTTTAAATTCACATATATTAGTTTCACTTTATTATATATTTTTAAGAATAGAATTATAAACAATAATTATTTTTAAATATAATTTCAGTTTATTATCTAATATGTTTTGTGAGACAAAATAACTCATAATATAAAAGAAGAGATATTTAAGGTTTTAAATATAGTTTAAATTTATTATTTAATATGTTTTGTGAGATAAAATAATTCATAATATAAAAGAAGAGATGTTTAAGGCATATCATAAAATTGTTATACAGTATAAACAAACAAACTGTGTAAAAACATGACAAGTAAATTGTCTTGTCCATGTGGCAAGAGCGTTGTAGTAAATAAGGACTGAAATGTCTTAGGTTTAAGCCTCACTTGAGGCAAATTTTTTAAAATTATTAGGGATTCTGAATTTTAACAATTTAATAATAAAATATTAACAAATTGAAATAAATAAAAAAGAAAATAAATATTATATAGAATTAAAAATAATTTAAAATAAAAAAATTAAATCCCATGTCAACATAGAAAAATATATAAAAATCCAATTGAGAATATATGTCATAATAAAAAATATTAAAAAAATAAATAAGTGACACATAGCAGTGTTATGTCACTTATTCCATTAATAGACATGAAAAAATAGATATTAACTCAAAATTAAAATAGTATATCAATGTTATAAATAAATTTATATTTATTTATTTAAAAAATATTTGGCCATTTAAACTAATATATGTTAAATTGTAATTCAGTGTGTCGAAACTATGTGTCGAAAAGATTTGATTTGTTTTAGATTTAAATAGATTTGATTTAAGTCTAGAATAAATTAGATTTGATTTAGTAACAAAAAATATATTTTGGGTTTTTGGCTTATGGTGTAAGCTCAGTTATAAATAGAGGGAGTAACCCGTATTTTTGAAAAACAAGTCAATCAAGTCATTCACAGTATTTTGCAGTTGCAAAGTGAATAATAAAGTTTTCACAGTTTGTGAGCAGAGAGAAACTCTACAGAAATTATTTGTCTTGTCTTCTTTCTTTGTTTGTCTCATAATTAAATTGTCATTGTGGTAGAAATTCATCATAGATTTTGGTGAGTATCCAACATCTGGTATCAAGAGCTTTTGTTTCGATTCAAGGAAAGTATCAATCAAGAACGATTGAAGAATTCAAGATGACAAGTTATGGGAATGCAAACTATCCAGCAACGCTACCAATTCTGAAAGTTGACAACTATGAGAATTGGTGCAAATAAATGAAAGTCTTATTCAGGTGTCAAGGTCTTTGGGACCTTGTAAAAGATGGAGTCAAAGCACTTGGAGAAAACGCTTCAGAAGAAGAAAAGAAGAAATACTCAAAATCTGAGAAGCTGAGTTATAAAGTATTATTTATAATTCATCAATGTGTCAGCTCAGACAATTTCGAAAAGGTTAGTGATTCAGAATCTGCAAAAGAAGCTTGGGAGATCCTTGAGAAGTCTTTTGGAGGCGCTGAGAAGGTGAAAGAAGTGAGGTTACAAACTCACAAAAGGACGTATGAACTGCTTTAGATGGAAGACAGTGAAAGCATGTCTGATTTCTTCACTAGAGTTACAAAACTAGTAAATCAAATCAAGATATGTGGAGAAGCGTTAACAACAAGAGCTGTTGTTTCGAAGATCTTGAGATCTTTAGCTCCCAAGTTCGACCACATACTGGTGGCGATGGAAGAGGGGAAAGACTTGTCGAAATTGACAAAGGAAGAGCTTCAAGGGACGCTTGAATCTCAGGAACAAAGAATGAACGAAAGAGTCGCAGGCAAATCGAAGAGTGATATGGCCCTGCAGGCACATTCAGCAAAAGAGACCAAAGGCAAAGGAAAGTGTTTCGACAGAGGTAGAGGTGGCTACAACAAATCGAATGCTAGAGGAAACCAGATCGAAGGAAACGTGTTGAATCAAAGAAAACCATACCAAGGCAACCAAAGAGGTGGTGTTGCAAATAGAGGAGGAGGTGGTGGTTGAAAACCTGATAAGAGTCACATTCAATGTTATAATTGTCAGAAGTATGGTCACTATTCGAGTGATTGTCCAGAAAAACGAAAGAATCAAGAAAGTGATGCAAAGCTTGCAAAACATGAAGAAGAAGAAGAAGAAGAAGAAGAGATGATGTTGATGGTCACAACAAGAGATGAAGATAGATTCAAGGACCAGTGGTACTTGGATTCAGGATGTTCATCACATATGTCTGGAAGGAAAGACTGGTGTGTCAATATAAAGCCCTCAATAAAAAATATGGTAAAGTTTGCAATGACAATACCCTAGCAGCTGAAGGTATTAGTGATGTTATGATTATGAGGAAAGATGGCAAAAGGTCAATAATCTCTAATGTGTTGTACATACCAGGCATGAAGAGAAATTTGCTCAGTATAGGGCAATTGATCGAAAAGAATTATAAAGTGTCAATCGAAGATAAGATGATGAGAGTCATTGATGAAAATGGGAGATTAATCTTGAAGGCTCCTATGTCTCAGAATCGAACCTTCAAGATTGAACTAAATGTGATGGAGCACAAGTGCCTTTCGACTGCAGCTAGCAGAGATGAATGAATATGGAATTATAGACTAGGCCATCTAAACTTCAGAGACATCAGATATTTGAAGAGAAGAAATATGGTTTCAGGATTTCCAGAAATCGACATTCCAAACGAGGTATATGAGGAATGTGTGCAGGCGAAGCAACACAAGAATAGCTTCAGCAAGGATGCAGGAAGCAGGTCTAAGGCTAGTCTTGAAGTCATATACTCTGATGTATGTGGACCAATCCAGGTGGATCAATGGGAGGTAACAAATACTTTGTTTCATTCATAGATGATTTCAGTCGAAAGCTATGGACTTTTTGATCAAGAAGAAAAGTGAAGTGATCAAAGTATTTGCCAAGTTTAAGTCTATGGTCGAAAGACAGAGTGGTCGAAAGCTCAAACTTTTGAGAACTAATGGTGGTGGAGAATATGTGTTGAAAGACTTAGATAGGCTATATGAGAAGGAAGGGATTGTGCATGAGGTAGTGCCACCCTATACTCTACTACAAAATGGAATTTCATAAAGGAAGAATCAAACCATCATGAATATGGTGAGAAGTATGTTGAAAGGAAAGAATTTACCTAAAGAGTTTTGGGGTAAAGCTGTTTCGACTGCAACATACATTTTGAACAGAAGTCCTACAAAGAAGCTAGAAGGAATTACTCCAGAAGAATGTTGGTATGGTGTGAAGCCTAGCTTGAGTCATCTGAAGTTATTTGGATCTATTGCACATAGACATGTGCCAGATCAGTTGAGAAGAAAACTCGATGACAAGTCAAGTCAAATGATTCTAGTTGGATATCATTCGAAAGGAGGCTACAAGTTGTTTGATCCAGAGAACAAGAAGATTGTGATCAGCAGGGACGTGATCATAGATGAGATTAAAGAATGGGATTGGACTGAAAATGTCAAGAAAGATTCAATGGGAATCCTATTCGAAGAGCCAGAAACTCAAGTCGAAAGAGAAGTTTGACAAGAGGAACCAGCAGATATACCAAGTACAAGCAGACCTCGAAGAACAAGATGCATGCCTGAAAGATTGCAAGATCGTGTGATTACATCAGATGATGTGATAGATGATGAAGGTGAGCTGGTACATTATGCTTTCTATGCAGATGTCAAACCCGTTAATGCAGCTGAAGCATTGAAGGATTCGAAGTGGGTGAAAGAAATGAATGAAGAAGTGAAGTCTATCGAAGACAACAACACTTGGTCACTTGTCGAATTTCCTCAAGGCAAGAAGGAAATTAATGTCAAGTGGGTATACAAAGTGAAAACGAATTCGAAAGGTGAAGTAACTCGACACAGAGTAAGGCTTGTGGCGAAAGGATTTCTACAGAAAGAAGGAATAGACTTTGATGATGTTTTTTCACCTGTTGCTAGGATCGAAACAA